ATATATATATATATATATATATATATATATTTGTAGCAATTCTTCTATTATCCATGACGTGAATCTTCACCCCCAAAATCGAGTTCACCCTCAACATTTTGAATACATTTACGAGCTCACACCCTCAATTCTTAAAAATTGGGCAGCATGAGCGATTTTCGAGTGACTTTTAGACGATTCTAGTGTTATGATCGGACAAGTCAGCAAGATTGCCCGGAAAATATTTTTGAGACAAATTTGCAGTACATAATAAATGTTTGTTATTTATTTGCAAAGATAAAAAAGTTGAGTTTTATTTGCAACTACACAAAATGTGAGAATTTTATGTGCAATTAAGCCAAAGAAAAATTAATGAACAACTTTATTTGAAGGACAATTTAGTAAATGGAACATTTGTCTTACAATTAGTTTTAGGTAAAAAATGGATAACACATTATATTCTAACAATCTTATCTTGTTCTACCATGTACAACAAACCAATGTCTTCATCTCATCTCTACAAGACAATCTTGATAGCCAAGAAAATTTCCAATCTCGTCTACTCTAACAAACGTGTCCCCAATAAATTAACCTATATATAGTAAGAATTTTTCAAAAATAGCAGGTCAAATTTCGGTCAACATTAATTACCTACCATTTTTAGTAACACTTTTTATTTTTATTTTTATTTTTTCAAAAAATTCAAGAAGCATTAAATGATGCCTAATTGGTGGGTTTGGTTCCATTAAGTTCTGAAAATTTCGATCATTTGAATATAATGTTAAATTCAAAAACTCTCATATTTGATTCTAAAAATCTGAATGTGAGATTCCATTATTTCAAACCATCCGAAATTTTTATCTTTGAAATTGAATTGTCTCATTTTGGTTGCCGCAAATCGGGCTTAATTCAAAACTCTTTCCTAATATGAAGGATTTTGTTCAAATTGAAATCTAAAAAAATATAATCACATGATTTCATTGTTGGACGGATAAATAAAATTATTCCATAGATGAAGTATATTAGGCCACTTTAAATTAACAACATTTTGGAAATTAGAAAGCCATAATGAATTTCGATTTATTAGGTTTCAATTTGTACGAATCTATTGAAATTCATCTCTTTAATTTTTTTCCTCAAGTTCAAATTTTACAATAATTAAGTCAAATTTCAAATTTATTGTTTCAAAATATATATAATAATAATAATAACCATTAATAAAAATAGTAAAATAGGTCAAAATTTAATGATGTCAAAATTTAATGCAACCCATAAATAGTAAGTTTTATTATTTTTCTTATTTTTTTTCTTAAAAAGGTATACAACATTAAATGTTACCTTAAATTTCGAGCTTTAGTTTATTTTATTATTTAAATAATCCGGCAAAGATCTATTAAGTGTGCACGTTTCTGTTTTTATTTTTATTTTTCGTAAAAACAACGAACAACGTTAAAATCTCGGTCTCTATATTTAAAATATCTCAATTCAAAGTATAACAAAAGTTTTATAATCTCGGTCTTTCGAAAAAAATATTGAACGCTAAAAATATGTTTGATCGAGACCCCTCCTCGACGTATTTGCAGGTCACCGGAGCTCAAGGTCAAGGACCATTTGTGGTGGTCCCGTTTCATCCGATTTGCTTATCAATAGTAACCAAAGTATAATAATAATAATAATAATAATAATAATAATAATAATAATAATAATAATAATAATAATAATAATAATAATAATAATAATAAAGCATACGCAGTTATTCTTGTGAGGTTTTTCATAAGGCGGTGTCTATATATAATAACATCAATGAATTTGTAATCACATTTTATTTCGACCAAACAATATTATAATTTATCTCAAGTAATTTAGAATGAAAGTAGTACAATTTAAAATGTTTTCGCATGCATTTTTGTCCAGATATTTTCAGAAATATTTCTCCATAATTTGACATTTTTAAAAAAATATAATGTATAAAATTCTTTATCTAATACATCGAACTTTTAAGAGCCCCATAAGTTATCTTAACACAACTTAAAATAATATTATTTTTTTTAATATTTATGAAAAAACAAGAGTAACTAACTACAAGAATGCTATAAATATGAAAAAGTGTTTGATTTTTTTATTCAAACCAAATAAAAAGAAAGTGTTAGATTTACTTCTCCAAAATCAGTAAGTATATGTATTCCTTTTCTCCGTTATTTCTTATTGTTTTTTGCTCACTAAGCTATTGTTTCTTAATTTTTATAATTTTTTTTATTAATGGGCTATTAAGCTATTTTTGTAAGCATCTAAGTGATGATAATATTATTTTTTTAGTGTGGGCCTAGGCCCACACTAAGCTCCATCTAAATACGCCCCTGATCGTGTCGGGCGAGGAAGGATAGGAGCCGAACTCTCAGCGTCTTTACACGAGTCGTATTGCTCATGTGACATCTCATACGAATCATGTGGCACCTGGTCGCGAGTCGTGCATATTACTGCACATTTTGTAGGAGTTTTTTTAGACATTTGGAGGCTGAGAACGCACACAAGATTAGCGAGAAAGCAAAAAAGAAGAGAACAAAAAGTCTAATAAGATTTTTCTTTCTTTTTTATTTACATTTTCGAACTCGATGATATATATATATATACATATATATATTGAAATCATGTCCTTGGACTAAATTATTTTAGATTCTATGATTTGTTTGTACTCGAATTAGTTTACGATATAGTTTTTATTTGATTCATTCTAGTTTATCTTTTGTTTATGAATTTCTTCTGCTTATTTTTATTGTATGAGTAGATAACCGCTATGAATGCATAATTGTAATTAATTTGAGACAGACAAAAGATAGTCGATTGCTAAAATTGGAAAATTTATGACGTAAGAGAATAAATAGATTAATAGGTTGATAGGATTTTGTGGGAGAATGAAAATCAAAAGAACTTACAGATTAAGCTCTTCATCCTGAGACGGAGAGGAGATAAATAATAATTAATCTACGATATAGCTTATTCGAGAAAAAAAAATATAAATTAATTTAATGATCATTTCTAAATGTTTCATAAATTAATTATGTGAAAAGCATAACCTATATTATATTTCATTGTTCTGGCTTATTTTATTGTTCACAAGATTTTATTTCTTAAGTAAATCATTGCCTAGTTTAATTTCTTTGTCGTAATCATCACTCAATTTCCTTGCTAAGATAACATTTTTTTCATCATTATTATAATAATTAGTTAATTTAACTACAATTTTTGTGAAATAAAACTTTGTTCGTCACTTTTTATAAGTCATACTTGCGGATGACGAAAATAAATAGCGAACATATATTTTAGTTTTTGGTTGATCCATAATTTTATATGTCCACATTCGAAGCTTCTTTTGTAGATTTGAAATTTAACTGTGGCTTTTAAAATTGTTAATATTGTAATATTTGAGTTGTTAAAATATCACTTGTGAGTTATCTCACATCGTTTATATATGAAAAATAGGCATAATTTATAAGTTTAATGGGTTACTCCTTCTTCCACCAATTGGTTTTGTGATTGAAATTCACTTGAGCTTCATCTGAGCTTTCCCTTGTTGTTGTGCGCTTCATCTTGTTCATGTGTGATTTTACACCATATTCATATAGTATCTAGAGCTTATTTGTTGCATTATTGGTGTATAAATTGCATATTTGTGCTTTAATTCTATATTTGTTGGAAATGTATTACACGTGCGTGTTTTGTAGATATTTCCACATATTTGTAGAGTTTTGGCTATTGGAGGAGCATGGTGAGTGTCTAAGACTCCCGGGATGATGATAGATCGATGCACGGATGAGAAAAATAGAAGAAACGAGCAAAACAGACAAAAACGTGCATGCTGGGGTGTGACACGGGCTGTGACACGACCAACCAGCCCGTGTCAGAGCCCATGTCACCTCAACAGAAAGAATTCGAAGCTCAGGAATGCGACACGACCCGTGACACGACTTGTGACACGGGCGTGTCAGGTCGTGTCGCGACGCGGGCAATTTTTAATCCTTTGCCTTTTTCGCTTAGGAAAGGACTTTCGGACATATAAAAAGACATATTTACCTGATTTTGAATCCTAGAACGTGATTACGCAAGGAAGGGAGCTAGAGAACACACAAGAGAAGCAATTGGGAAGAAGAGAAGATCAACCACAAGATTTCTAGTTTTTCTTTCTCTCTTTTGAACTTATTTTCTCATGTTGATTTTGAATATGTCTATGTATTTGATTTCAAACATGAGTAGCTAAACTTCTTTGATTCTAAGACATGGTAGTAGATTAATAGTTTGAGATTTTTCGGATGATTTATCATAATTGATCGTTTTCTTTTGAACCCTATTCAAATATTTTGTTCTTATTTCATGAATTGAAATTGGCCACTGCTTTTACATGTTTGATGATATTGTTCATAATTCGAGAGATGAGTTCAATATTAGATCTTTAATATTTGACACAATTTATTTACTTGAATCGAGAGATTAGTAGAGAGTTGTGAGGATTTTGGGGTCTTTTAATTTTTTTGGAGTTGAATTGCATGTGTTGAGTGGAGACGCTAATATATGTGATTTAATCTACGGTTTTATCGATCTCGAGAGGGACGATAGGCTAATTTTGTGATCATCTTATAGGGTAGATAAAGAAAATATTTAGTTGTGATATATTTGAAGGAACCCAACTGTTAATTGAACTGAACCCATAGTCTTAGAATCTACCATTCTCATATATTCTTCTTAAGTGTTTTTCGAGTTGTTTTCTTATTCTTGTTTTATTACTTTGATTTATTTCCTTAGTTTAGTTAATCCATCTAATATTCCATCGTCTAAATAAAATTGACACTATCATAATCTTGTACTTGATTAATTAATTATTTGGTCTCTTGGGATACGACCTTGCTTGCCACATACTACGAGCGAAGCCGTACACTTGAGGTCGACTTTAAAAATATAGGCGAACACATCTGCGTGGACCGCACCTGTATTTTCCTCCGTTTCTCACATGGTATCAGAGTCGATTCTTTGTGGGACCGTGCGATGACGTACTCGTTACTCAACTCATTTGGACTTGGGCACCCGGCTCCGTATATGTGCTTGATTTTATCGAGAAATCGAAGATGAAAAAGAAGACATGGAGATGTGCTTGATTTTTTATGAAGACATTTTAAGGATGACAAATGTCATTTTAAATAAAAATAATATAATGATTTTAAAATTATAAAAAAAAATAAACAAAAACATATTTTTTTTTCCCAAAACAATAGAGCAAAAACATATTTTTTATTTTTTTAAAAAAATTATAAATATGTATTTTTTATTAACTCATTT